CAGTAAGCAAGTTTTACTACAGTGTCTTGAAACGCAGGCAGTTATTTTGAAGCATTATCAGTGCCGTGCAATAGAATTACCATCATTGTTGTCCCAATAAGGGTATTAAAACGTTTATTTGTAAGTGGAACTTAAACTTCTACCACTATCTATGTTAAATATTTCTCCCAAAAATTTAGACTCAGGGTTAATGTTACTATTTCTGTCTATGGCATCTCTTTCCATCTTTGCAATTAAAGGATTTATACGGTAAACGTAGAGTGCACAACAAGAACAAAACGGAGGCGGGTACATGGGGACAGACACTTAAGTTTTTTTTCATTCAACAATATCTTTATTCATATTTTAAAAACATTAATAACAACAACCAGGCAGAGCAGACTGTAGTTCGGGTATGTACTGAGCATGTAGGATTACAGCAGAGAAATTAGTCATCCTTCTCATGCAGTTTGAGCATTTTAATAACTGACCAAGCCCAAACGTCTTCCAAACGCCTTTTAGGCAACGAAGAAAAAAATGCATGTTACTAAACAATGGGTGGGGTGTCATTTTTTTAAATTCTCCATGGTATGACTGTGTTTGCACAATAATAGTTTAACAAAAGTGACATAGGCCACCTTTGAGGGGTGTAATTAACAGTTAATCATCTATATTTTAGCTCACAAATCTGGTTTTGTGGCTCCAGTTTGTCTTTCCTCTTAGAAACAACATGAAATACAAACACATAAATCATGTGTTTGATGGATTGCTGATCAGTGCAATCGGCAGGTTTCACAGTACTTTGACTATAGAACTGCTTTGGTGATCTTTAATTCTTGCTCTGATGCCACCACTACGTTGTTTTTGGAGATTTTTAATTTAAATTTTGGAGGGCAACGTCACTCTTAGGACTAAATAATAAAAATGGTGATCCTCCATCAAGTTCCACAATCAGGTCAACGTTCAAGTGACCAAGTGGGCTCATTTATTCTGTCAGCTTTTTGCGGTAATTGATCCGTTTATGTGGCAACAAAAGTTGAATGTTGTGTGGATATAATTCTGAGAATTTTTGGCTTTATATAGCACGTTCATAGTTTTACTGAGCACTCAAAATACAGAAGTCACAGGGCAAACATTTAATGTCCAAAGTGACAATGAAACAACTCAGATTACACAATCAAAGGGACTTAAGAGTGTATGTCAAATATAAAGACATAGACACATTAAATTAGTCATTAATGACCCAAATTGGTCAGTTTAGTCACTAGAATAACTTGATTACTTTAATTTTTTAATTGTCATTTTGGTTCATCATGGGCACTCACAGCATTCCCATCAGCCTCAAATGTAATTTTCTGTGCCAGATTTTAGCTTTCTTCCAACAACATAAAATCATAAGGTCATCAAGACTGTATCATATATAATATATATATAATTTATGCATCAGCATGTGCACACGTTAGCAGTCAAAAGCAGGTTGCTAGTTAAAAGTTCTCCTGAACAGAGCTGCAAACTGTGGGGTGGGTCCCACTAGTGGGCAGTGGACAACTTGAGAAAAATATGTAATGAAAATAAGTTGTATAAATGGGTTTCTGTGGGGAAAATAAACAGATCCAAGTCTGCTGATGCTATCAGACTGGTGAAATGCACCTTTAGATAAGTAATATTCAACATGGTTCTTTTCTTAATGTTAATGATTGATTTAAAGAAAGAAGCTTATGCGTAAGTTCAATAAGGAAGATCTGTAATCACTCATCTGCCTGCTTTCCTGGGTGTTCAGCCAGTAGTCTGTTCTTTACACCACTCCACTTTCCCACACTGTCAGTGTCAGTGGTGTCATCATTGCTCTAGTCCAATCATCTTCTCGCCCACCTACATTGAGCCACTCAGCCTCCACTCTGCGTCATGCCCTTTGCCATTCTACCTTTCAGACTCTCATTCGTGCAACCCACCTCCTCCCTCCAACTCACCCAGGTCACTCAGAGCTCCATCCAAGTGTCAGTCTACATCTTCAACACCACCAGCAACTAGACTCTTGGTGGGTCTGTCCTAAATCCTCTAACTGCTGGGTTTCTGTTCTGCAGGGTTGAAATGATGAAATTTAGAGCGATGGATATCAGAGCCAGCAGCAGCCAGCTAATCATATCTCGCACAAAAAGAAAACAAATCTTGTGAAGCTAACATGTGACTAATTACTAACTGATTCATTTCCTCATACTGCACCGCTACACCACATTTTTGGGTTATCCCAACTACCAGATCCCACTTTAGCCACTGCATGTTACCCCCAGAAACTCTAGAAACTGTAGGAATGATCTTGTCCCTGGAGGCAATAGGGGATGGGTTGTAAATTAGTCAGCTATGGCCTCCTTCATTTTCTGTTATCTAAAAGTATTCAGAATGTTATGTTCCCCTTTTGCTATAATTATAGACTCTAAATATGCAGGCCAACCAGTGTGGCGGGAGTTCCTATTGTCATATTAAGTATACAGAGAAAAGCATACCATTTGTGAATTTTCCCACAGATTCTCAGCACATTCAGACCTTAAGTCTGACATCAGCAAACTGACGCAATTGGACAATAAAAGCCTAATGATACGTTGTTACTCTTTTCTGACATCTTTTGACACGTGCATCACGAACAGCTCAACCATGTTCTCGCTAGTTATGTGCATAAATAAACTCAGTCACACTTCATGAAAAAAGACAATTGCCAAATGATACGTGAAGCACAGTCTCTAAGTTAACAGTCGTGTGATTTACATCAACCCAACCTTCGTTGTTATGCAGACGTCATATGGTCAAAGCTGTATTGGACACCCTAGTAGTTTTCGTGTCTGACTGCAAATGCACTGGAAAAACTGCTGCTACAAGAGGGGAAAGGTTTAGTTCTGCGGTGTGAAATATTGTCAGATACAGCACTGATAAGACACGCACATGTTCTTTGGTGTTAATTGTGACAACTCTGGTTAGGTATTTCCTTTTTTTTTATTTTATAGTAGTGTTGAGTGTTTGCCATTTGGTTTTACTTCCACTTTTTGTTTAGTTTGCTTTCAGCAACAACTGTGTTCAATCAGCTAATAAATTATATATATATACACTAAACAGATTTTTGTCTCTTTAGATTTGAATGAAACATTTGAGATTTTATATATGACACAAGATAGTTGATAAGTGGTAAAATGGTAAATGGCCTGTATTTATATAGCGCTCTACTAGTCCCTAAGGACCCCAAAGCGCTTTACATATCCAGTCATCCACCCATTCACACACTGGTGATGGCAGCTACATTGTAGCCACAGCCACCCTGGGGCACACTGACAGAGGCGAGGCTGCCGGACACTGGCGCCACCGGGCCCTCTGACCACCACCAGTAGGCAACGGGTGAAGTGTCTTGCCCAAGGACACAACGACCGAGACTGTCCAAGCCGGGGCTCGAACCGGCAACCTTCCGATTACAAGGCGAACTCCCAACTCTTGAGCCACGAGTGCGGGGTATTAATAACTATTAATACCCCGCACTGTGTTCATTAGTGCTTGTTTCATGATACTGCTCTAAGTCACAACGGTTTGTGCCTGCTGGTTATATTTAAGAAAACCACCCTCAACAAAATATTGTTGAGCCTGCTTAAACATGCCAACAGAGTTGCCTGTTTAACAATCCATAACTACTTGCTATAAACACAGTGGAGTCAAATTTCATCACAATTAACAATGATACGTGTGCTGGTGTTTTAAGCTGCCAGGATTGAAAGTGCCTTGTCTACATGCACGTTTTGTGGCTGAAAACAATATGAATTTTAAGTTACACAGCATTTTTAATTATCAATTAATATGATATACAAACAATTTAAATCTTGTGGCAAAGACAGTGAAAATTAAGATTAATGTTTGGGTGAAGCTAAATAAACAGAGCGCATTCAAAGGGTGAGCAAATCTTATTGCTCTACTCTAAGAAAACACTCATTACCCACATTTTAACTACTCAGTGTGGAAAAAGTCACTCGCACCAGACTTATTCTACACTAGCTTCGCCCTGGTCACACATCCAGTCAGCTTCTTAAGCTCAAATTAGGAAACTGAGCTATTGCATTTCATACTTTTTGTGGAAAACGTGTTCAAATATGAAAATCTGTTCTCTTGGTGTGGCTTTGGAGAAATTTCCAGGGCTAGTTTTAGGCTACATATATTCAGGTAGGCTTGTTAGGGCAATCACTCTCTGAGAGACTGATGAAGGTTTGCAAATAATTGCTGTATAATTTATAAATGCAGACATGTTGCCATCAGTCTGAATGTGTCTTTGCCAATGATCTCAACTTGAGGGGATTCGACTCAACTGGCTGCCAGCTGCTTGTACTCTGGTTATAATCCTGTAGAAGGCGGCTGCTGAGCACAAACGTTAATGTGTGAATGTAAATTTCTGCTACATATCAAGTGATTTTCGATGATTTATCACAGTTAATTAATGTATTGTCAGAAACAGATTGCATGTAATTTCCAAACTTGACCCCATTCAATCTCAGAGCGACAGCATGCTGACTGTCTTATGGTAACATTTGTGTGTTGGTATGCTTGACAGTCTCATTTTGCAGCAAAAAATAAATAAATAAAATAACAGAAGTAACATAATTTGATCTTATTGGATAAAACTGATACTGATAAAATTTAACTTTTTGCACACATTGTGATGAGTGGATGATACATGACACATTCTTATCCCTGGGTGTTTGACGCTGCGGTTCAGTCACGTGTGACAAAATATCATTTAAACAGCATTTTTTTTTTTATTCAAAGCAAAGAGAAAAATAGAAAGAAACCTTGGTTAAAATGTGTGTATTTCATATGCTTGGCCTATTATGCAGGGGCAACATTTCACCTGATGCTCTGTTGTTTTCCTGCAGGTGAGTCCCGCCTCCTTGAGTGGGCTGGAAGTCTGCTCTGATTGGCTGTGTCTAGTTGAGCTCAGGTAAAGTCTACCTGCGAGCTACAAGAAAAGGGAGGGCTGTGGATTACACCATAGCATTCAGCTCCAGTAGGGCGTTATTAACGTTAGTAACTGTATATGCACTTAAAAAACAAATTCTGAAAAAAAGATAAACTTGTTTAAGCAGAAACTTTAATGGCAACGAGTGTAGGATTGGCCATGAATCCGCCCCACGCGACTGAAGAAAGGGCAGTTTTCACGCAGCTGAAGCCGGTGAGGATGTCGGGAGCGGAGGGCGCCGAGGACACGTCCGTGTTCGAGGACGTCAAGCCCGCGGTAAGAATCTCCCCCAACCCGCTGAGCGCGGCCGGGCTTCAGGAGAGCCGGAGATCCGGCCTACCTGAGAGTTTGAAGGTGTTCGCTGCTTTTCGCAGAGGATGGGAACCACGTGCCGCTTTAGGCAACACGTAGTTGTTTCTGGCATAAGCAAACAGTAATAGTCATGTAACTGGCTGAGGGGCTAATGTGTGTCGTGTTTATCAGGCTGCTTTTTCATGTGACATGTAGCAGCTCACCTGTAAAGGCGGGCAGGCAACAGGTAGAAGTCCTGCATAGAGGCGCAGCTGATGGGTTAAAAACAATTGCAGCTTGGAGAAACTTGTGGCAACTTGATGCGCTATGCGGTTTTTTCATCATATACTATAAGGTTTTATGTGGATACAGCGGGGAAAGCCATGCACATTCCTGCTAATATACTTTTGGGGACGCAATACCAGGTGTTCTAGCCTGCCCTTGTTGGCAGTTGTTTTTGCTCTCTATATGCTGTTAAATGAAAAGCTACATACATGTTTGCTATGTTTATTTTTATAATCTTTCACATTAACAAGTGAAGCTGAGTACATGTGCACATTACACCTTGTTTCCTCAAATTTTATTCACCATCCCTACCTGTATATTTTTTTATCTTGGGGTTTTGGTCACGTGATATAGCATCAGGTTGAAATTTAGAGAACTCTGCAAAACAGCTTCTTCTATATTAATCACTGCAGTGCTTTGGAGAGCTCACTGTGCAAGGCTTTCTGGGGATACTTCCTGAAATTCCCAGCAAGCATCTCATGGTTTATGTAGATATATACACGAGATACATGGGGTGCCTAATTGTTTTCAGAAAATCATAAATGCAAAAACAGTACACTATTCACAGCAGAGACATGACGACGGCATTAAAGTTAAATGGCTGTGAAGCACGTGTTGTTCCTGCGTGATCGCAGCAGAGCACAAACAGAAACCGAACGCCTTTGTATGGTGCTGAGTTTGGTCTCCTGCCACATATTTGGTAAACAAGTAGCTGATCCACAGACCTAAGGCTAAAGCCACTCTGCCAGCTGCACGTGACCAACAAAGCATAGCCAAAGTGGATTTGACAGGTTAAAGATGTTTGCGGTCTGTTCAGCCTGAAACATCATTAGCAGAGTGGGCTGGATTCGGGCTGTGCCTTTCGGCAAACATGGGAGTAAAGCATACATTAAAAGCTTTTTTGAAAAGGCTCAGTGGGCTTTGCTACTAGACGGGTGCAAACATCTGTCCACAGCCATCAACCATTTAGATATCTGCATGTTTGTACAACTTGAATGAAGTTCATTGTGCTGCTGTGGTATGGAGGAAAATATTTGTATTATATTTTCTAATGGCAGATCATTTGTTTCAGGTTATGCTGCTTCAGTTTTTGCCTGACCAGCACCATCACTGAACTTTCAGTGGTGATGCTTTATATTTTGTGGCTCTTCTATACGGAACTATTTTATATATTCTGATCAAAAACTATACATAAAAAAACCTTTATTCTATATAACAATGACCATCGCCTATTACGCCTGCTTAGTAGTTAGTTATTCCAGAAACAAGGCAGTGCTAAAGCAGATATTTTTAGACAGGATTACCCTAAAACTGAAAAGCTAGATTTTCATGAACTTAATTGAGAGGGAGAATACTGGGCAAGGAAGCACAGGACACCAGCGTTTCCTCTATTACAGCTGTCTCAATGAAAATCACTGTGTGAAGTAATCAACCTCTAAGACATGTGAGAGCACTGTGTGTAGCCGCAAAAAGCTTAAAATGATGAACCCTGTCGTGCTCCGCGATGGCTCATTTCAATTGTGTGTCCATGAAAGGGAGCGGAGGAACGAGCAGAGAAGTTTTGAGATGCTGGGACGAACATTGGTACTCTGAGTTAAGCCATCATGCTCAGGTACTGGATAAGGCAACTGTGGGTAGTGTGGGTGATTGATTTTTAGTAATCTTTTTAGATTTTCATCCAGTTTTCTGTACGACTTGGAAAACACGGTCTACCTTGTCTGCCTATCTTCCTGCAGATGTATTTAGAGCACAATGGCTGCCATAAACTAAAGTATTTTACAACCTAAACTGGTTTGTGTTCTTGTAGAATTCCATGAACTGAAATGTAAAATGTCTGAAAGCGTGAACCCAGAAAAAGAAGCGTAGATTTTAAACTGTCAGTCACTGAGATGATCACAAGACAAAAAAGCGAGACTTGTTTGTTAGGTTCCAGATATGATCAACTATGAAGGTTAGCATAGAAGTATAGTTGTTAATATCAACTTTGCCACTGTTTTCTCCAACAGTGTGACTTGTGTCAGTTTCGGCAGTTGCGTCAATGTTTGGCTCGTGCAGCCAGAATTCAGCTGCTGTTTTGTTTGGTGCTCATTGCTGTAACATGCAGTGGTCTTTGTGGAATTATACTAGAGCTTAACTCCAGTGATGTCGTGACAAACGTACGTTGCCCGACCTGTCTGAGCAGGGCTCGCATGTCCACAGGCCGCCCAGAGGCAAAAGAGAGGATGATAAAGGTCGACCTCGTGAGAAAGTCACGGTGGCAATGAAAACTCAGTGGGAATGGTCGAACTCCAGGACTTCGAATGGCTGGAATATTCTCCCCTTTGTTGTTTATAGTGTTGCTTTTCTGTAGCCATAAAACAAAATTAGCGAATGAACTCACTGATCTTGAGACGTGCTGTTTGGAAAATGTTTCAAAGCAGATCCAGCAGCTTGGTCTTCTTTAATAAGTCACAGAAAATTCATTAAAGCTAGTCTGGGTCCAGCTGATCTTTTTAGCTCGGTTTTGGTAAACTAAAGCAAAAACTTGACTTGTTTTCAGAAGTTAGTGGCTAACTTGAGGTTTGGATTCGAGATCATTGGTTAACCACATGCTTTCTGCTTAAACTGTAGTTGCTTGACAAGGCTGGTGAAAGAATTCTATATTTAAAAACTACCAGTTTAATAACTTTAAGGACCACCACTGTAAATGCCACGTTGTAACCTTAAAGTCCAGCTCTCTGGATAATTCATGGATACTCGTACTCCTTTGCAGATCCGTGCTCTTTTTCTCTGGCCTGACTCATAACTGATAACTGGACTTTATTCTCTGGACTCTCGACTCTGCAGCGAAATGCCGTCATAACATTAACGTGGGCCTATGTAGACACTTTATGGCTGATTTCCGGAACTTAACTCCCTGTCATTGTGCACTTTCATGCACAGTTGCGTACTACCTCGAAAATGGCCCACAACTTTACTAGTCTCGGCTATTAACACCCACCTCTTTTGTGCCCGTATATTTTGGACACCTTTTCATGTATTGCACACTTTTTTTTTATATACAGAAACTTATCATGTGAGCACAGGACTCTTGAGTTTGGTGTTACAAATAAACACTAATAGTTTAACATTATCCCTTTGTTACTGTTGTCATCGTGCTGTATCCTCTCCTTCTATTTACTTTAAGCATATTGAGACTAGTTCTTTAAAAGCCATACATTCCTTGTGATTACACGGGCATTTATTCAGCCTGCACATAAATCTGCTTGATGAGTTTGAAAGGAATTCTTCATTTATGTTGCAAAACCACAAATCTGAAAAGCTTGAAGGGTGAAAAGCTGTGCATTTTTCTCTTGTAAATGATGTGTCACTATTAGAAAAGAACCAGTCCTTACAGGCATCAACATTTCAGCTAAGGTTTGACTGTTCATTACGGTATTGTTGAGGCATCATTTGTGTCTTTGTCAGTCTTCTGACACACTGCATTTTTTTAAAAACTTGAACAAATCTGTTCATGTTCTTAAGTATTAATACCGGAATAAGTAACCGATATGAAACTTGTTTCCAGATTCTTTTGTCATTATATCACCTGTGGGTTTCCTGTATGACTGCGCGCAGACGACAGGGTAGGTTACAGAATAACTTAATGGAGCATAGATCAAGAGCATGTCGCCAGTCACGCTGAATGCTTCCTGAAGATCAATATTCAGATACGGCTTTATAAATATTTTAGTTGTACCTCCTGGGATACGCGTGGTGTGTTTGGGTGTATCCTTCCTGTGCCATGGTTTTGACCAGACTTGCCTTCTTTTGTGAACCCCGGTCTCCCCCATTAGTTTATAGTCGCACAACCCTTCCTTTATATGGCCCTCGCGGCTGACATGCAGCTGAGGTCTGAGATGGTTTTGGTTTGACTAATGATTTGACTTCCAGGACAACACATGCAGCTGAATTTGCATCTGGGCAAGTGTCTGCTGACTACGAGTTTCGACTTGCAGGGATCCCTACAGTGATCGGTGAAAGGAAGTTTGCTGTGGGGAAACACTTTTATTTGCGTTATTGAGAAATCTAGGACGATTTTCTTTTGTCTCTATCTAAAGTGAACTTAAAATTTATCTAGCTCCAGGAACTCTTCTTCTACTCGTATATTTATTGATTTTTTTTTTTTCATCTATAACATGCGTGTTATTGTGCTCACCTAACTGCCAGTTTTGTCTTGTTTTTTTTTGTTTACTCAACCGTCACTGCTGTTGATTGCCATTGTGTGTTTTGTAGCCACATATCAATAAACAGGTTGTCTAAAGACAAACGCCTTTGATTCATATGGGAAAATACATTGTAGGTTCAAAAGTCTCTTTTTAATAAACCTTATTGTATTCACACCCATAAATCAGTCTGATCACACTGCATCTGAGAGCAACAAGAAACCTAGGAACAATTCCTAGCATGACTCATGCTTTGCTCTGTTCACTTTGTTTGGTCTGCTGATGTCAGCTCTCCCCATCATGCCCGGCTGTGTTACCATACCAGACAACACATGCTGCCCGCAGACAGTCATATTCTGCCATTTCCTAATGCTTATTGTCTGCAAACTCATCTACCGAAGCTGCAAAATCTCTTTAATGACCACCACTGTTTACCCTCTCGCTCGTCTGGAAAAACAGTCAAAACTGCTTTTGTGAGGGAAAAACAAAAGCTGAAATCATTTTGTGGTGAGACAA